TCTCCCATGGCCAGCATGAGGAATTACATAGGTCTGCATATATTACATTTTACATATAGGTTATTTACATGCGTGTCATGTACATGTTTAGAAATCTTCGATAATATGATATTTATTAAATATTAAAACTGAACAAAGCTTTAAGTCTACATCAGTATGTATTCAAGACTGTCCACTAAGGGCCAAAAATTTTTAATTGAGTACAGATTTTTTTTTATGGCTTGAAATGAATTTTCATATAATATGGGTATTAACTCTATTTTTATATATTGTAATTATATAAGTACATATTTTAATGTGATAGTCATGCACCACATAATGATGTTTCAGTCAACGACGGACCACATATACGATGGTGGTTCCCTAAGATTATGATGGAGCTGAAAAATTCCTATTACCTAATCATGGCGTAGCCATCTTAACATTGTAGTGCAACATATCACACATGTGTTTGTGGTGATGCTGGTGTAAACAAACCGGCTATACTGCCAGGCATATAAAAGTACAGCACATACAATTATGTGCAGTACATAATACTTGATAATGACATGAAATGACTATGTTACTGGTTTATGTATTTACTATACTACATTTTTTATTATTTTAGAGTGTACTCCTTCTACATATTTTTTAAAACAAAGTTAACTGCAAAACAGCCTCTGAAAGGTCTTTCAGGAGGTATTCCAGAAGAAGGCATCGTTATCATAGGAGATGACAGCTCCACGCATGTTACTGCCCCTGAAGATCTTCCAGTGGGACAAGGTGTGGAGGTAGAAGACAGAGATACCGATCACCTGAGATCAGATATTCATGCACATTCTCTTCTAATATACTTATTACTGCATTTTTATATTCATTATTTACAATGGCATTTTTAGCAATACAACATTCTTCTGAACTTTCTATTCTAAGGATTTGCCTATTTTACCAGCAACATACCATATTTTAATTAATAGCTAGGATTACAACTTTCTCTTCATTATCCTTCTTTACTGTATAAACTTTCCTTGACTCTTATTTCATAAAAAATGTAATTCAAATCACTGATCTGTGAAAAATTCCTGTTAAGATTTTGTTTAGAATTATATCAAACTTATAAACCAATATCAAAAGATTAAAATACTTAAAGAATTGTCTTCCTAGCCGGAAAAATTGAGTCTCCTCAGCCTCAGATTAAAGTTCAATAGTTTTCTTCCTAGGTCATTCCCTTTTCTTAAAAGTTTAATCCTTAGCATGCTTTCTGTTGCTACTATGAACAGGCTCCCTTTTCCTCTTATTTTTGAGCTGGTTATTATTACTACACACAAAAGATCACAATATTTATATTATTTATAATGGAACCCTACTAAACTTTATTAGTTTTAGATGATTGCCTTGAGAATTTTTTATTTATCTGCAAATAATTTTATCCTCCTTTCCAACAGTTCTCTCTCTCACCTCTTTTTCTTAATACGTTGGCTAGATATTTCAGTGCTATTTTAGATAACAGTGATAATAGCAGGTATGCTGCTAATTCTAATAGGAGATAAAATTCTAGTGTTTCACCATCATTAGTATTTTGGCTACGGACAGCCTGATCTCAGTTTGTTTTTAAAATTATAGAAAGTTCCCATAAAATATTAACAGTGATATCTCTAAACACTGAGATAATGGGTGATTTTATTTTCCTTTACATTTTCCAGGAAATGGATTTTTGCGTATTTTTTATTAGACTGGCCATGAATTTTTCCAACTTCTTTTCCAAGTTTCCTTAAACAAATGAACACAGATACACACCCCCCCCCACACACACACACCATTATCTCTTTATTTCTCCTAACATTCTCTGTTTAAGGAGAATGTTTCTAACTTTAAATAATCTTGGTTAGCAATCAACATCTTGCAGAAGACAAGAGAGAAACAAACCCCTAGAAAAGCTTTCTCTTTAGAAACAACATCCTACTATTCTCTGTCAAAGATAGGATATCTAAAAATAATGTCTGGATACAAATTTCTCAAAGTAAGTCACTTCACTAATAAAAATGATACGTCATCCTTTTTACTAAAATACATCTGTGCCTAATTAAGACTGCAGTACAGGATGCCAGGAAATAAAATTATTAACTAGTAGATAGTAGAAAAGTCATAACACACCCAAATCACATCACCATGAAAACCAGATTCTAATACTCTTTAACATTAGACTTACATGTTAATGAACATACAAAATTCATCACTCCTTATCAAATGCTGTTTCTTTCATATGTCATTAAGTAACCATCATTCTGACCCTATTTCAAAATCTTAAATAACTAGTTTGTGGTATATTATCAGAAAATGTCAATCTCAAATATAAACAGCTTAATTTTTCATTTTTACTCTACCAGGAAAGTTTCAAAGTGCTAAAACATGCAAACTGCTACCCATCTTCTAAAAATAGAAATAAAATAATTAGGTCACAATGGATGGCTCCTTACTTGGCCAAAAAAAAAAAGATGATGAATGCCAATTGGAATGTTTATTGTCACTGAAATTCTTCAGGCCTGGATTCCAAGTCCGCCTCTTGATGCAGGTTACTATGACAACTTAAATTACAGAAAATGCTCCCCCTTCTTCTACCAAGTAGTTTTCTCTGCAAGAGCAAGCCTTCTAAAATCTGCGTGCAGAAAATTATCTGTAATAACAATAAATACCTCTTTATAAGTTTTATTCAGAAATGCCCCCAGCTAAACACTTAAAACCTTTAGCATATAAAAACCAAATTCCATTGTATCTACATGGGACAGAACCCTAACCTGAAAACACACACACGCACTTAAAATATAAAATATTGAGAGTATTCTGAAACTACTTCCTATTACCAGAAGCACAGTGTATTACCACCATATGTTTCATTCCATAAACTATGGAAAATTACTTATAAAGCAGTTTGAAAGAAGATTATAGAGCTAAGTTCTGTTTATCATTATTTTCCCCTCACTAATGCTTTTTACGGGAAAGTACCAGAAAAGAAGGATGGGGGAAGATTGTAGTCCTATTTTGAATAAAAAAAGAAGCAAATAAATCATCTGTAAAATTGATTCTGTCTTTTAACCTAATCTTTTTACATAAAATGTGAGTTTTAAAGTTTGTTCTCACACAGCTTCAAATTTGTAAACCTAACAGAAGGGCTTTGTGATAAATAAAGTGTGAATTAATCCCTATCACCACATTCTCTAAAAGAAAAATGGCTCAAGAGAAATTGCAAAATTGCATCAAATGTGATTTAGTAGAAAGATATTCTGATTTCAAGATATTAAAAATGTAAAGTTGCTCCATTGGGGAAAAAATTAGGAAGTTTCACACTGTAGCAACACCGAGACTTCAAAGCTAATATTTTTGCCCATCAGAGTTAACACGACTTAAATTAGATGCTACATCTGGAAAGGATGAGGGAAGTCACTCTCTCCTATAAGCTGTGTTAGTTCGGTAACCAGCATAGGCAAAGGAGTTTTCTAAGTTTCACGTAGAGCTACCTCTGAGCAAAAAACGAAAACTCTTCAACAGCAAACTCTAAGCCACTCATACAATCCCCACCTGTATTAGTGGATAACTAACAGCGATCCAGAGAAAAAAATATAATTGAAATGTTCAAACCCAAATACACATAATCCTTAAACACTAAGCCTGAACTACAATTCTTCTTAGTATAATTTAACATAAATCCTCCTAAATAGAACATAATTAATGTGTAAGAGACAGCTTTATAAGTACAGCTTCATCAGTAATGGAAGCTAAAACTAAAATTTAAGTGGCTACCCAATTACAGAGAGAACATCAGTCCGCTGAGCTACACAGTACATTTTTCTTCTTACACTTTTCTTTTTTAGACCATATTACAAATGGCAGGCATCAAAAATAGGGTCAGGATAGGTCTTCTGGGGTCTCACACGGATATAACAAAATTGCCTCATCAGACTCTCTTTTACTCTCAACGTTTGTGGCCTTCTGGTCACGGCTTTCGCTAATGCCACAAGCAACGTAGCAGGGTCTGCAGAACACCAACTTAACCAACGAGGATATGGACTTGTGGTTTCAGGAGTCCCGTTTCTCCATGTAATCTAGCAATTATTAGAAGGCTCTAAAGTTACAGTTTTTTATTTCAGGGGAAATTAGTTTATATGAGACCTTCGAGATCCATCATGTATTTAAAAATGCAGGCACATAACTTTTGTAAATGAGGGACTACGGAATTTATGAGACAGCACACTGGCTGGTGCCCTTAAAAGACTTTATTCACCTGTAAAATGTGAACAATTTATTTGTAAGTTATTCACTTACTAAACAAGGTCATATTATTTTCCCTTCTGGGATCAGTAAGTCACTTAAATGTTCAAGAGACAAGAGATGACACACAGCAAAATACTAAAAACAAGTGAAACATAATATTCTGTACATTCTCACCTGAGAGATTGTGTGACCCCCTTTACTCAGTGAAGCCAATCATAGACATTATTTAAGAAATGATCAGACACCTGTGTTTGGAAAAAAAAAGAGAAAGAAATGGAAGCTCAAACTACAGAATATTCCAGTCTTATCAAGATTATTATGGAGAAGAGTCGGAAAAACCAGTCAGTCATCAAGATTTTCTAATCTTTCACTATGAGAAATACTTCTCGGCTTTAAAAGAGGCAGCCAATTTAGAGTATTAGTAGAAAAGTGCTCAGAAAGCCCAAGAGTGGTGATACATGACTTTGAAACATTTTGCTTCAGACTCCAAATTTGAAACCTAAAGCGTGTTTTATGATGCTTTTAGTGTTAACCCAAATTTGGACCTGGGAACTATATCACAGTGGCCACAGATGCCATCACTGACTGCACTTTGTATTCTCTAAATAAAGGCTTATAAATGATGATTCTGAAGAGTTCGCCAGTGAACACAATCTCTGAAAGTGTCCCCAAACTTTGAACAGTGTTTTAGAAGTCACTGAAAGTGACACTCTTCTAGGATGCAAGTACGGAGTACAAATCTTCTGACTCACCTTACCACGCTGGAGTCTCCAAGCCAGAGTTGAGCATGAGGTAGTCTCGAAGGACAGAGCACCGCACGGGTATTCTAGGAGGATCTACACAGGCACCTGAAAAGGTACACAGTGTTCTTATAGGCCTGGCTAATTTTTTATCTTAAAAATGCTAAATCACGCCATTTTAACTTACGATCAAAGACCAAAATACACACTCTTGTATTTCAAATAGTTTTCCCAAGAAGAATTTTTCCTCCACTCTCCTTGCTCCTGCTTATTCATGTGAATTGCAGTACTTGTGGGCTGGGTTTGTTTTCTATTTGGTTTCAATTAGCATTTTTGTGCCTTTGAAAAAGGAATTTCAGTTGTTTCTAAAAAGGGTCATTTGATGGGCCCATGGTGTTCTAGGAAAGACTTTGTGCCTTCTTTTTCTATTGACCAAAGCTCCCTATACGACCACAATAATTTCTTGAAAGCAGTTAGCAGTTGGACAGTTGGAAAATTGCCTGAAGCCAGGGCTAAAAATGAAGTTGAAGGAGAGATCTCAGGTTTTAAGTCCTAAAAAATAAAAACAAAAACATGCCACACTTTTCCTTGGTGAGTACAAATTACTGGCCAACCTAGGAAAGGGGGTAACTTGGAACCATTTCTTTTGACCATTTTATTGCCTAATGCTGTGAGAATGTGAAACTGCCACCACATTGGTTATAAAGAAAGCCTAGGGAACAAATCTTGGCCACAAGATGGGAATTGACGCAATTCATATGTCTGCCACATTCAGACGATGCCCTTCACAGATGTTTCTGAATTTATTTATAGAAAGGTTTACTTTAGCAACAAGACCAGCTTCCATCACCCATTTTTTAAATATACCCAGACGTCGAACTACTTTTATTATGAATAGAAAATACCACCCAAAAAGGTTACAATCCTTAAATTCTTAGTCATGAAATAATACAAAATATCAAATTAAAATTTAAGGAGAAAGAACTGATGGACTCCAAATATGATGCAAAATATAAGAAAACATAAATTTCAAACACAATTGAGGAAGGGTGAAGTTACTCCAAAGTTTCCCCTTTCCTGGCTGGGTTCTCCCTGCACAGCTGCAATACCCCTGAATGGAGACACTGTCTCCAAATCTGGTTTCTAGCCTCACACTTCATATAACTTAATAGTGGTTATAAAAATGCCATTGGCTTCCTGATTATTTTTTACATAGTGTTACAGTTGCAGTGCAAAGGTACATTAGTGCATGCTCCCAACTAAGAAAAAGAAAAGTAGCAGTCACATCAAAATTTTTTTTTTCTAATAAAAATAAATAGGTTTAAGCCAGCTAGATATTACAGAATTTGTTTCATCTTCTTATACCAGATGTTAGGTTACAGTCTCTGGCTTCAACTAGACCTACCTACCTGCTAAAGAAGCTAGAAGAAACAGACACATCTGAGGCTGATATGATTTGGTAAAAGAGCCTGTTCACGCAAAGTGCCATCCAAAGAGCAATAAAGAATCAATCCTGCTGGGTGGCAAATTCAGAACCAAGTGAGAAGAGGCTAAATGAACTAACAACCACTCTAATTCTCATCCTTGGGGATGCAAGCTACCTGGAATCCAGGCTGGTAGCAAAAGTATTCCTACTTACCTAAACCCAAATCTCTTCCTTACCCATCTTATCTTCTTTAAAGGCTCGCCTTTCTTTTTAGTTTTGTTTTCAAGAAAACTTTTTGGAGTGGGAAGTGGGCAGCTGAGAATGAGTTTCTAAAACTGACATAATCATTATCTTCTTCTGTCCATAAAATAAGGTTATCACTAGAGCCAGACACTTAGGCCAAGGAGATTACGGTGCTTATTCCCTCATATGTAATTCAAAACGACACTAACATATATATTGAAATTAAAATCTCTCCTTTTCAGATTTTCATAACTGCACAATTCTGAGATGGGATGGGGTGTCCCGTTCTGCTGCTGTGCTTGGGATGCCTGTGGAAATGCCAGAACACACGAGGAAAAAGACAGGCTTGGGCTCCTGCTCACCTGTCCCCATCCCAGACCTCTTTCCACAACCATCCTAACTACTCAACCCATGGTTCACTCTTCAGCCGGGTTCCTTTACAAAAACCAATCAACCGAAAAAGATCAAATCCTATCATTCTACTGCTTTTAAAAGTCTCCACAAAAAAAGTTCAACCTTTTTTTCTTTGTCACGTAACTGTGTTGACAAAATTTTCCTAACCACAAATACAAACATAGGATCTGGCAATTGTGAGAGTACTTATGAAAACAATGAGAAATAAGAGATTTAAGCGGGAATGATATTGGAGAACTTAGGATATAGCAGGCGCTCTACAGGAGTCCCTTCTCATCCCTTCAGACCACTGTCCAGGCTCATCTCCAGTCCCTTTCCTGAAGCCCCGACATGGCATGCCAAGCCTCACCCCACTGTTCAGCCTCCCTGCCTCTGGCTCCACTTTACTCCGGCATCCCATGCCCAGGCCCTACCAACTTTTTGTGCTGGCCAAACTCCAATCACTCTCCAAGACTCAGTTCAAATGTTATCTCACCACTCCCTGGAAACCTTCCCTCATTCAAATTAGTCACTCTAAGTATTCCCAAATGGCTAACACTTAGTATTCACCAGTGTTCACTGAATCCTCCCAACAGCCCTGTGGGGTCGGTACTAAAGAATACAAAGGTCAAGTAACTGGCCAGCAGTCATAAAGCTAATAAATAGTAGAGCCAGGAACTGAACTCAAGCAAACTGACTTCAGAGCCCATGATCTTCAACAACTGTACCTCTATTGTAATACTTAACATAAATTATAATTAAATGTTTGCCTCTTCTTGAGGGCAAAGACATTTTGCACTGATATTTGCATTCCCAATGCCTAGCACATAAGAGATACTCAATAAATGTCTGCTGAAGGTGTGATAGATTCAGAGGGTTTTACAAAATGACAGCAGATTGTTCTGTGGTGCTGAGCTTAGCTTCACCCTGCCTAGTTAAATGGTTCCTTTTACCCAGATAGAATTCTCCTATAACCACATGTCTGAAAAAAACAGGTATCTATTAATATACAAATGCTTGAAATGGACCAATAATCAATCTATATCAATGTGTGCAATTTGGGGAAAAAAGAAGGTAAAAATTGGAAACCTTTATACTCCAATAATTATTTTATTTTTGGTAAAATTTTATAAGTGTACACTAATTTGACACTTACAATAATGTGCCAAGGATTGGACATTTTCTTATTTTGGTAGCCAGGCTCCAAGATAGCCCCCAAAGATCTTCTTCTCCTGGTATTTACACCCTTGCATGTTCTCCTCTCACAATGAGCAGAGGTAAGCTGTACAGCCAATAGGATATTGTGAAATAATGTCATAAAAACCATAGCGGCTTCCATCTTTTTCTCTTCGATCACTTGCCCTGGTGTAAGTTAGCCACCACGTTGTACAGACGTTCAAGCAGTCCTATGAAGAGGTCCACATGGTGAGGAACTGAGGCCTCCAGCCAATAACCAGCATGAATTTGCCAGTCAAATGGGTAAAACCACCTTGGAAGTGGATCTTCCATCCCCAAACCTTCATACAGACTACATACGACGTGGACCGACATCTGGACCACAACGTTACGAAAGATCCTGAGCAAGAACCATCCACCTAGGCCATCCCCGGATTCCAGATCCAAAGAAACTAGGTGAGATGTTTTTAAAAAGTTACTGTTTCAAGTCTTTAGGTTTGGGGCAACTTGTTACACAGCAGTAAATAACTAATACCTATTGTCACCACACAGACTTTACTTAAATTAAATAGTTTATAAGAATGCAAATAGAAGTTACTGATGTTAATTAACACAATATCAGGTTATTGCAATTCCGAAACATTGGACACAAGGAAAATAGAATGCTCAAGAACAACTCAGGAGCAAAATAAATTCCAGTTTCCAAGAGACTCTGCTTTTTCTACGGAAGAAGGCAAGACGGTCATTTGCTTGTAGATCTCTCTTAATGACTGCTGATTAATTGCTGGGTACGTTCCCTTCTTCTAAACTAGGCCCACCAGGAGGGATAACCCATGGACAACAGTGGCATTTCTATTACTGTAGAAATGAGAAGAGAGTTTATTGCTCTGATTATTTATATTAAGTACCACAGGTCAGATAAGAAGAAGTCTAAAAGTTTTGGAGGAAACCAGCTTTCTCTATTCTGTGACCCCAAGACGTCCAAAATGTTTAGGGTAAAAAAAAGCACATTTCTTTTTACTAAAAAGAAAAACACATTTGAAATTGTAAATATTCAACTGTAAATAAAATATGGTAGTACATTTTCATAAGTGATATCCCCTTGTGCCCACAGAATAAATTTAAACCATAAATATTATACAAATCTGAAATACTGCTACATTTTTGTTTCTCTAATAAAGGAAAGGCTGATGTCAACTGCAGAGCCACTAAATTCAGAGAGGAGAGCTTTATTTCCAGTAAAGGGTTTACAGCCTAAAAGTTGGCCATCCTGCAGGCTGGAAAGTGTGGCACTTTGAGGGACAGAAGGGTGAGACCTAGGAATTTATGCTAAATGGGTTGGCTAAGTATACATATTCAGTAGGTTATAGAAGGAGCTATGAATATCCACGAAGGGGGGTGTGCATATGTAGTAAGTAAATACGCATGTTATGTAAGTCCCATGCTCTTTCTGGGGTGGAGACTTAACATTTAAATCCATCAAAATCAGGCCCTAAGTGTCATAAAGCAAAATGGAGGACACAGAGACACTGGTGGGCAAGTGTCTATGAACAGCCCAGAACCAGTCCATGGTCCCAGTCCAGGGTCTGGCCTCAGTCTCTTTTCAAGAAGCAATGCTGGTCAGTTGTGTAAATGAGCAGTGCAGCAAGTCTTTCAAAAGGACTGACTTCTGTTTAACCCTTAGGGAAGAAAGTCTAACGGCAGTTAGCAGGGAAGGGATATAAGGAGGCATGTCCAACCTCCCATCCAGTCATGGCCGGAAGCTCAGTTTTTAAGGTTTCTCTGAGGTCCCCTTGGCCAAAAGGGGGTCCATTCAGTTGGCCGGGGAGCTTAGGATTTTATTTTTATTTCTCAGTGGGATCATTCAATG